AGCCTGTTAAAAGTCCTCGCTGGCCAGTGACTCAGTGACGCGTTCCGATGTAGAGGGTGGGTACGTAGTACTTCTAGCCACGCTAAGGGCTGGGCGCAAGAGCCCGAACTTTGCCTTTAGAGCGCACCCGAACAGAGCTCATTAGCCTCTAACATTGCTAAGGTTTAGTCCCGACAGATAGTTTCGTTGAAAGAGATCTTCTTCAGATTCCAGCCCACATCCTCGCTGTTTCAAATCGGTAAGCTGCCTCTTCCGTCCCATTACGCCACCCTGGCGGAGCTTTCTGGTAGAGCGGTCGTATATCAACCTCAGAGAAATTTTGTATACGTGCTTGCTCAACAGGTAGGAACAAACTATTTATTACACTGTCTTTACCTTGCCTACTACTACCATTGGTCATTATGCAGCCACTTGCAAAAGAGGAGGAACTCGTCATTGCCGCTCCCATCACCTGTCAACGAGGAGGAGGACTGCTCAAATTTAGGTACTTTCGCTTGCTTTTTTCCTTTTAATTGCATCTCAATCATTCAATGAAGGTAAAAGTAGTTCCTCTTTATAGCTATTGGCTGATTGGAGATCGATCGCCTACCATCAGGGTCTGCACACAAGACAGCCAAGCCAGGTCATGTACCAAGGTGAGTTCGCTTGCAAGTAGAAAGTTCACTATTCCTACATACATTCGCTGCGGAACCTATATCTGGGATCATTTTTTTTTCAGCCCATAATCTATACGGACACTTCTACTGTAGCGGTGGAAGTCGTCCATCCGCAAGCGGCTGTGTTTGATGTCGAAATCGTCATCTCCAACATCACTCAACCAACACTGTTCCTCCTTGACGACATCGAATACAAGGCTGACTTATGCGAAAATTCTCAGACAAATGTACGCTATTCACTGAAGTAGTCAGGGTGCTTGCGATGGTCATCCATTATTTGTTCTCGAATAGTCAGAGAAGGGTTATAGTACTTGTATTGGCGACGTCTTGAAGTGGGCGTGAAACGGCTCTCGTGGCGGCTCTTCTGGCAGTGTCCCTCTCCTCTCTAAGGCTAGTCCGAGCGGTATCACCGTTTCTAATCGTCTGTGCTCTATCCATCCGCTTGGCTGACGCGTGGAGAAAAAATCAAGTGCGTCACTGTAACTTACTTGTAACCTACGAACCGAGAAGAGGGTACAAACAGGCGAGTGCGTCGTGGTTTCGTGGATCGCGCCTATTAGTGAATCATTAAGGGTAGGGAGTGACACGATAGTGATACCAGTGAAGAGTGACTTCAATTGTAGTTCACCCATCTTGTTCTGGGTTCTTCACCATTAAACCGCACATTTGCGCTTTCATTATTCCACGTGACGTAGGTGTAGAACATTCTGCGACTTGGTGTGTTTCAATACCTGCCACGTTAAAGGCAGCGGTTACGCTAGGTTTGAATGGGGTTTAGAGGGGACGAGGGGGTCCTCAATGGTACGTCAGTGGCGAAAGAAGCAGCGAAATCGGTCCAGGAAACGAGAAATGGGACCCCCTTTTGTAGGCCGTTGATTGCGGCTCTCAGATGGACTGCGGCGAAGACGCGCGCACGCGCGATACTACGCAACGTCTGTTGGGCTGCACCGGAAATGACGTGGCAGCCACCGCACTTGATAGATGTTGTGTGGATAAAATACTCCGCCAGATATCAGCAAAGCGTGTTGGAAGCAGCTTATCCGCGCAACTTCTATCAAGTGCGGTGGCTGCCACGTCATTTCCGGTGACACGCCCAATCAGACTTCGAGATTTGACTGATGTACGAGATTACGCAACGCGTGCTGGCACAGGACAAACACAAACAGCAGGCATGGCGCCCTAACCGCGCCGCGGCTGGCAACGCAGCTCGCCCAAGCCACCGGTGAATCAGTGGGCGTCACGTCACTGGGGGCGGGGCGTCACGCGGGTCCTGCTCAGCAACCACAGCACCTTTCGCCGTGGGAGGACCACACATCGCTTCCTTGGCAGCCAAGTAATTGCTCCGTGTGGCGCAGGTTCTCCCCCGATGCGAAAATTCCTTATCGTAATCGCTTCCTTTAAGGCTATGCATAGCTTTCTAGTTGGATGACGTCCAAGGTGACTTTGAGATTGGTCTAACTGAACAGAAACTTTTTGAGATTATTTCGTACCCAGATCTATGGGCGACGCTGGTTTCTAAGGGGTCCTGATTAAGGTCAGCGCCAGAGCTAAGCTAGACATTCAAATTTATATAGACTTCTGGATATTCAATGGATTTGGAATATTCAATGGAAAATTGTTTATGTGTTCCCAGTTGGAACTGACTCTCTCTATATATAAGTCCACATACGAAAAGTAATTGGGACGGGAACTCTCACCTTTGCTCCTTCAGAATTCTGTCTCAAGCAGCTTGCATTGAGCTTCATAGAGCACACTTTCTGATGATTTGGAGGCAGAGTTCACGATGAAAAGGCAGCCTATTTGAAAATAAAGTAGAGGTAGTCAGTGGTGCAAGAAAAAGGAAAAACCATAAAAAACGAGCCTAGAACCTGAGAAACAGGAACCCTTCTCTGCCTGTTAATTTATGCATTGATGAGACTCTCGGGGTCCAATTAGCGCTCTGCTGAGCGGCCAGAGTCAGACGCTGAGAGGGTGTACTGCGGCAAAGGCATAGTCGCACCGGGGTGAGATGGCTGGACTAATTTGATTAGGAAAAACTCTCGCTGCAAAACGCACATCGTTCTGTTTCCCTACGTGTACCCGCCTGCCTTTCGACTTGGTATCTTTCCCCTTCTTCGACCACATTCTCCCTTCAATAGTCAATATTTACATGGTCAATCAGAAATTTTAAATATCCTAATTGGGAAAATCGAATGATCGGAAACCTCTTTTCGTTAACATGGGCTTTCGAAAACCATATTGCCTGCAGCCCCTTCCCACAACCCAGACGAGGTAAAAAGAATCGTTAGAGCAACAGTCCAGCAGGTTTTTTTACCCCCAACGAATGGTGTGCAGCTAGCACTAGCAAGAGCATTGAGGTCGATTCCAACCACAGCCAACTTCGAAAGCTTTAGCGTCTCTCGCAACGGCTTCCAGTGTGAGTTTTTTTCGGTCACACTTCTAATGCTCTTGACTAGGACTTTCCGCACCATTAGTGTTGAAGGTAAAACCCTACTGGGACTGTTGCTTTGCGTATAGCAATTGCGCCAAATAGTTAACCCTTTGACGACCGCGCGCTCTAAACGTGTCTAGCGTGTGGGACCGCACGCCAGACACGCACGTGTGCCCCGCCGGCGGGCCATGCGGTCCCAGGACCGCATTTTTGCTTAATTATAGCAACATTGATTAAATTGCAAACTTTCTTAGGTAAGTCGTCGTACTAATCAACCATACATTGTAACGCAGATGGATTATTAGGAAAGTACTGAAAAAGACCAATGAAAAAGACCTCAGAATATTAGTGTAACAGAAGTATTTTGATAATACTGTTGAAGTTGCAGCTACCGAAAACAATTCGTTTTCTTGAGCAAAACTTGCATTCAAAAATCAGATTTGAATACAAATGCTTCTTCCAAGCTTCTTTCTTTAGTCACTGTGGTCAATAACAAGTAACGTTATTCAATAGACGGTTACTACCACACACTGAATTCCAATTTAGTGGCTTCAATTGAAACCTTAGTATAGCTAGCCTTTTTGACAGGGCACCGTTTGCTGCACCAACCAGAACTCTCACTTTTACTTACATGCTATTTGTATTGAAATCTAATTTGTATTACACCTGAATGACATATTTTTTACAAACCAAACGAGCCCGGTGAAGCCCGCAACGACTGGGTCCTATCGACTAAACCATGCAAGGAATATTACTATACTAATGTGGCAACAATTGCAGTAAAGTTCACTTCATTCTGCTCCGGTTTTTCAAAAATCACCACAGGTGCTGTGTTCTTATTCTGTGGGTCATGATGATATTTTTGCTAACATTACCATTAGAAGTGTTTCTAGGCCTATTGTTTCTGGATTCCTCCCTAGAAGAAAGCAATTCGTGGACCACTGTGTACATAGCCTTGTTAGGGTGTTGTGAACATATTTAGTAACTAAAATTTCCAAAAATGTCAGAAGGGAGGAAATACAAGAAATTAGTTGCCATGGCCCGCCGGCGGGCCATACGGTCCCACACGACCGATTTGGGTGGCCCGCCGCGGGCCATACGGTAAAAGGGCGCCTAAACTACATTCTAGAGATTTACTATTACAGGCTAACGAACAAAACCTTGATGGGCAAAATATTGATGTCGTTGAGGAATTCTTCAATGATGACGCCGATTCAGGTGGAGAGAGTAGACGCAGCGATTTGCTCATGCGCAAACAAGGTAGAAGTGATATAAATTCTTCGCGTGCTGATGGAGTGTGATGTAAGACAGAAACTTTATTTTAAGTCTATTACTTTCCATAGACAAAAATTAAAATTGGATTTGCCACAGAAAAAGAAGCTAGAAGGGTGAGCAAGTTTCTCTTGGGAACACTCGTATAAGTGGCACATTCTTCGATTGATTTACAGTTAGCAGAATAACCTCTTAAGTGCATAAAAAATAGGATTCGCTGCAGCCTGTGGGTACCACTATCGTGCGACAAAAGCGACGTAGGATCAATGACAGAATTCACAGCTGATACGGTTAAAATGTGAACGTAGAGTGCTAAAATGTGTGCTCATGAAAAAAGTACAGTGCGTTAAAAGTAGAGAGGCACCACTGAAAACAACCGCTGCCAGTTAGGATAAAGGTTTCATGGCTTGCAACGTACTTAATTAAATTCAGCATGCTCTGAAGGTATAGATCACTTTATTTCAGAGAACAATGTAAGCTGAAAACATTTCTACGAGTAAATTTAGATATGCTATCTGTTTCGAAAGTATAGGGGCACTCTACGCAAGAGGATTCGAAACTAAAACTCCTTCTTCCTGTCAACTTGTTTCTCTGGACATGTTAAAGGCATGGTTCGGGCTCAGACCCACCTAAGAAACCCTCACCTACGCAAGTGAGAAGGTAGCGCCTCCTTCTACATCGAAGCGCGCCACTAGGATCCTAGGCGCCATGGACTTCTAACAGCCTCCACCAAGTTTAGCATGGTCCGCCCACCGTTCGATAACTTGTCTTAGCTAACTTGGTCTGCTACTGTCTCTGTCTTTTGAACTTCTCCACAGCATTGAGCAAAATGCTCGTATTTCCTGTGTATTTCAGGATTTTCTTTCCTTTTTCTCCACTGGCGGTCCACCTCCCATCCCTACTTTCACATTTGAGTGGAATCACCCATCAATTTAATCCTGATTCTTGCCTTTGAGTTTAAAAAGCGAACTAGCTCTTCAATGTGCCCGGACAATCCGAGCCTCCTACTGAGTAACACCCTCTAGATGGTTTCGCGACGTCTCGATAGCGCATTTGAGGTCTTCGAAACAAAAAAATATTTTACTGCTTAGTGAGGTCTGTCTCACAGTGTCCCAGGTGTTACACGGAGTACATACGCACGTTTCTCTAGTCGTGAATACTTTAGCACTCATAACCATGTGGGGTGCTTTTCCGCCGCAAATCCACAATCTTCTGACTGCATTTTCTCTTACTCTGTCTAATTATCATCTTTCCATATTTCAGGAAACATTCAGTTTTCGCGAGTTTTCTCTTACGCTGGGCTTCCGATCGACTGAATGCGGTCGCCCAGCTATGCGAGTGAAGAAGCGTGAAGGGAAAGCTAGAAAATGAAGTTGCGCGCTATCTTTCTAGCTCTTTTTCCTCCGGTTTCCTGTCCGCTTCCTCGTATTGGCGCCCAGGGTCTCCTAGACTGCCCGTTATTAGCCAATAACCTGATAGATTGAAGTAATACATATTTCCTGTGTTTCTGCGGTGTTTTTCTTTTGTTCTTAACTAGCAATACACTTCGCAGATCTCCCTCCATTTTCGAGAGAAGTATAACATCTTGCGATCATGGAAATTGTGGCGATCCAAACGTACGCAATCAAAGCAACACCCACACATCAAATTTGTGCGGTCACGGCGGTCGATAAGAGAGTTGTGGATGGCGGGTTGACTAAAAATGAAAAAAGCAGAGGAAACCGTCGGTGGAGCCATTAACAAGTATCTCCTCTCACATAGGGGAGGGGCGGACTGGGTGAGTTGTGCGAACTTGCCTGCTTCACGGCTCAACTGGCTCCATGAAAAACTCACCGGCGGCGCGGACGCGTTCGCGTGTTGGTGACGTCACAACGGCGGCGAGGGAGCGAGCATGGGCTAGCTTTGCCACTATTACTTCAATACATAGAGCATCTGTCGTGCCCTTACTTCACTGTGTGATAAGTAGAAGTATATTGGAATCGAACACGAAGAACACTCAGTCTATTCAAGGTTACTGACAGGTTCTCCTAAGGGTTTCCCACATGAAAGCCTCAACTTTCTCTACATTTTCAAGAAATTCAATTCCTAGGGCAAGGATGCTACCTGAACATAACACAAGCATTACGTTCGCGGCACAAATGACTGAGCAAATTGGTATAGTGCCAGAAACTTCCTTCTAATCTGCCGCAGCTGCGACGTCATTTTGACGTCCCCGGCACGCGCTCGCGTCCGCGCCGCCACTGAGCTTTTCTCTCCCACCGGCTCAACTAACCCGTACGTATTTGAATTAGCCGCTACGCCGTAATCCACGTTGCGTGTCATGGGGTGTGCGCGACGTAACTCGTCCATACGTTAAGATAGTCGCCATAAGTTCACTTTGTAAGACCCTAGCGCCATTGTCGCGCACTTTCGAGCCGCAACAACGGCACATCTGTGATACAGCGAGCTATGTACTCTATCCCACTCACTAAATAGATTCTTCGACACGACTCACTACTTCTGCTGGGGATGTTGCTGGGTTGTGACTTCTAATGGGCGTGAATTTGGGATCGTATGTAGAAAAATTGTGGTCACCACAATATTCTTGTAATAATTTTGGCCTACTTTCAGCTTTTTGTAAGTGCTCAATAGAACATGAAGAGAATCACGTAGTATTTCTCCATGAAATTTACCTGCCCTCTCCATCAATCGATGGCAGAACTTCCCACTTCAATAGATGCGAATATCTTTCGTACGCAATAAATTGACTACTTCTGCCTTTCCGTCCAGATATGGAACCGTTCCCTTCTGCTAATGAGAAAAATACATTATTAATGGGAAATGGAAATACTTCCGTTCACGAATACCGCCTATGTTTTCGGCCACAAAATCGGCTCTGAATAGAAAAGCACACTTCAAAAAACATTTGAGTACAGCCAAACAGGTCGCCGGGTAGCTTGCTATGTTCTTGTTGGGCTACATACATAACAATCAGCTGGAGAAACGTTTCAGGATTAGCTGGCTGAAATAGTCCTTCTCCATACTGAAGGCACACCGCTCTGCAAGCAAAAAGACAGGTGCTATATTAGGTCTGGGAACGCCAACAGCACCGGGTTCCATAAAGTGAAAGCGCTACGCTGACGCGTGCGGGTCCGCGTCTTGCTATTTTCTCATCCCACCGTCTCATCGATATCTACTAGTCCCCAGTAAAGCGCACAGTGTCTCTTCTTCGCAAGAAGCACCGAAAAAACAGGCCTAATTGTTCTATGCTGTGGAGGGGTTTAAAGAATACACAGAAAAATAAAAAGGCAATGCCATTAACGGAGAGAGGGTAAAATTTCAAGTTGAGAGAGCATGCCTCAAATCAAAATAAGCGATATGGATAAAATTCGAAGCGGTTGCCGTGGGTATCCCGTCAGTGGGCGAGGATCCAAGTCCTAACCAAAGTCCCTAGCGTTTTGCTATCAGTAACAAGCTTCCATGCGTAAAATTGGCATGACCTCCGCCCTTGCCATCGATAACTGTACACGGCATGATTTGTCAGAAACTATCGCCGGGTGTGCGCTCAAAGTGAAGTATGAGAAGTGTCTACAGGAAAACGCTAAGCCAAGGGCCATGCTCAAACGTGCTCCACAGGTAGGAGCACAACTATTATTCAGAGTGGGTCTGAAAACAGAAAAAGAAATGGTAGAAATGAAATGATAAATGAAGGCGTTCTGTGGTTCTGGGTGCGAATCGCCAACGCGGCGCACGCCATGTTCGTGCACTACGTGCAGCGAAAATTTGTGAACCTGCACATTCCAGCTTTTAACGCATTACAAGTGGCTCGCCTCACCCCTGATCCTCTGAAAAGACTACACTCCTCCGGCTCACGGATTTCTTACTCCCCGCGCTGCAGCGGCGACCGCCTATCTCGAGGCACATTGCGCATGAATGGAACACAGGATGAATGTTACGACCAGTAAAAGGGTGGCGATGTCCTCCTTGGTCGCAGTTTATGGCATCGCTTCACCCTCAATCCAGTATTCCTAATAAACTTAGCTTCCCTCGATCGCTATTCCGAGAGGAAGAATGTTGCGACTTCGTTCAGAAGGACGATCACTCAACAGAAGGTCGAATGGAAGTCGTTGTGGAAGGGACTGGCGAGCGCTCAACTGCATGCCATTTGCTCTCGTGCAATTTCACAACTGACTTCTGCGGATACCGCAATTATCAAAACGACACTATGAGGTACCATTGAAACCCTGGGCTCAGGATCATTCATAAAAGTGTTGTTTTAGCTTGGTGGAGTGGCAATTGGGAAACCACAGAATCGGAAATATCCACACTGGCATCAAAGGGAATGAGGAAGCTAACGGAGGTAGGTGAAGGTTGTCTCTTCCCTCCTCGTCTCGCCTACTTATTCACTACCCGGCTAACCTGCTCACGAATAATGCAAATATTGAAAGGGTGTCTGTTATTGCACTGACAGCCGACATGGCGGAGTTACGACGTACATCCTGGAATCGCGGGCGGCGGAGATTGCGCTGGGTGGCGGAAGGATTATTGAAATTATTTTTGATGTCTACAGACGGTCTAAGGACATTACTCTCCAGGTGAGTTTCCATCTGCAATGCTGGCCCAAGCCCTTATTGGAAACGGATAAGATCTGATTGTTAGACGTAAGGAAAAGGGAATTACTGATGGAACACGTAGCCAAAAACGGCGTAACTACGCTGGTGGGGAAAACTAAGAACGACAGTAATAAAGTAAGTAAACGTATTCTTTAGTAACTGTAAGTTTTCGTGAAGTCGTTAAGCGGTCATGTCAATTGATTCTGTGATACAGTTCTGAACCAAATCTTTATGTGTGAGGTTAGATTCTATAACGCTGTGTTAATCGGCAGTAAGATGTGACGGAAAATTTAAGTTCGTCCTTAAATTTTGCACACCAGTGCAGTACTTCGAACAGAAATAGACCTTGGAAGAATGTTTTCGCTCAGAAGCATCACTTCTCGAGCAAAAGTTCCAGTTCTGATTAAATAGTTTGTTCAAACCAACATCAATAAGATTGTATAGACCACTAGTCACTACGGAAGCACATAGAAGCGAAGATGAAATGACAAAATGTTCAGGTTTGCCTCAACACGCCGTTCAATTGCCCGTACACTGTTTCACCATTCGACAAGCGTGTGCACTGGAAACAAGGAGAAACTTTCGAGATTCCAAGGAGCACCAAAAAGGTCTGTTTTACTACGAGTATTTCTCATGTTCCCCATGTGCGTCTTTTGATAGGGCGGAAGCGATGTAGAAGAAGTTTTCCTCGTTGCCGCACTCAGGATGTGCGGTTGAAAACCCGGGACGTGTGCTTCTAGCAGTCTAAGCCTTCAGTGCCCCGAAGTTGAATACTTGAAACCGGACCAAAGGGGTAAGACACTGACTCGTGCATGAGCTGGGTCCTAAAAACCATTGCATAGGCCATATCGTATTGAATGATATTGCGTATTGCCAGTGCGATTTCAAAAGGGAAGAGAATGCGAGGCACATTCCCAAACGGGACTGATCAATGCTGAAGCTTTTACATATACAGTGCGTTTCAAAAGTATAAAGCCACCCATGAAAACTAACTTTCCGAGTTAAGGTGAGTATTTCATGGCTTGCCATAAACTTTATTGAATTCAGCGTGTTTGGAAACCATTGTTCTCTTTATTTCAGGAAACAAAATGATTCACATACATTTTTATAAGAAGATTTCCAAATATCCCCTGTTTCAAAAGTATAAAGCCACTTGCAACATAACTCTATTTTTCCAGAGAAAAAGTGAACATCGTAAATATTAGTAACTAGCGTGACTTCCTTTTTTAGAAGTGAGATTTAATAGACCATTTGGCATACTATCCGTGAGCTTCAGAAGTATAGCGGGATTCAGGTGGTAGGAAAACGTCTCGATGGCTGTCTGAGGTCTCCCACGTTACTGTACTGCTTTCCATACGCGTATATCTGTCGGACAATGATACCCCATGTGTTTTTTATTGGATTTGAATCTAGGCTTCTAGCAG